CAACGCCGAAGTTGTTTCCGTCTTCTATTTTGGGAACCATTAAACCGATGGCCAGTTTTAGGTGAAGAATGTCTTCACACAACTCAATCATTCGTGGCTTCAAAACACCGATCATTTCAGTGAACGTTGGATTGCAATCGACGGCTCCGTTGGGGAAGAGAAACGGCTTTGCGATAACGATCTCATCGTCCACTTCCACTATGAAATCCCTTTTTGTGTCCTTTTGTGGAACTGATCCCTCTTTAGCTTTAACTGAAGACTTGTGGTCCGGAATCGGAATATTGAGTTCAAACGGTTTTAAAACCGCATTCAGACTAAACTGAACAGAATTTGATAAGACGTCTAAATCCAGTATTTTTCGCGGAAACTTCTTTAGAATCAATTCTTCGATCTCTTGTTTCGCTTTATCTTTAATTTTATTGACTTCTTCTTTGGCTTTATCTGACATTTTGTGTATTTATTGCGCCAATAAATCCTAACTAATCGATGCCTTATTACAAATTTACAAATGTTTCAATTTTATGACCAGATTTTGAATCATTTATTGCATGAAAAATATTGGATTATTTGTCAAACAATACATTGGAAACAATTGCGCAAAACGAGACGTTTTCAAATGTGTGGACATTTGCGGTGTCTTATAGTTATGGTTAGCCATAGTTATCGCGTGGATAACGACTATATTTAAAATGTATTACAATTTGTAATTTACGAGAACTCTCTTTTCAACGTAATTCTCGTTAATTAAACAATTCGTTTAAAGCATAAGAATTGACAATAATTGTAGTCTTTGAGTGAATACTATCGCAATGTCTACTACAATATCGACTACAAATACTACTTCAGTCATTACCCACAGTTCAGTGGATCAACAAACTTATCACATACTCAAAGGTATGCAAACAAATATCGGTTATTCTTGAAATGAATTGCTTCTCAATAAACCTTAATCTTAATCCACAGATGGATATGTTATATCGCTTAGTGTTCTCCTCGTCTTATATATCGTAAAACTGCTTTATTTAATCGTTTCGTTTGTCAGAGTATTGATATCGGATAAAGAGAGTGTCCGCCCGTATCCCGGCGCTTGTGACCTGTGCTGTCAGATAATAGGCTGTATTTTCATGATGCTGTTCCCCATCGGAGGCATATACTCGGCAACAGTCGACTCGGCGAGTAATGTCCACCTCTTCGGTGTGATTATCTCAGCCATTGTCATCGGAGCCATTCTCACCAATGACTTTGTGTCACTCATCTGTTTGTGTAATACCGGTCTCTAAACGCATTGCTATCAAACTATTAGAGCAAAAAGCATTTAATGAATTAATTTGTTAACAGAGAAACACAACGAATACACTTTGAGTTTCGGATTAATTCAATTGGGAATCGTATTGACGGAGAGTGTGGTGTTAAATGTGGGCATATTTTACGGCTACTATTCGGTGTTGGTTTTTCACGATTATCACCCGGACACCCGTTTTGGCATGTTTTNGCCGACTGGTCTTGGAATCGATTGGTTAACTCTATTAGAAACGATTCCGTCAACAAATCAATTGTCACAAAACCTATGAATTGCCAAAACAGAGCAACTCTTCTACAGTTGCCATCAGTTCCCAGTAATTCATTAAACGGCTCACAAAGTATTTCCATTCACACCATAAGTGATACTTCCATTTCATTGCCACCCCGTTGTCCGACACCGACAGCGCCTCCACTTATCACCACTCAGTCCTCTATTAGTTCAATGAATAGTGAGATGTCTATCAAATCAGAAACATCTGAATGTCATCCCATTTTAAATACAGATAAAGACAAGAATTCAAAGAAACTCTTCAACAAGAATTGGATCCAATCGTTAAGACAAAAGTTTAAGAGTTGAAGAGTTACTATATTTGTATACTTTTTACACAGTATTGCGTTTTTACATTTTTATTACAAATGACAATATATTTTATTTAGGATTTTATACATGTTTTTATATTTAGAAAATTAATTTGAATTTGCAATAAATACGAGACAATGAATATTGTATTCATTTAATACAAATAGTCTTTGTTGTCCTCATTTCGGGGTTCTTTGATTTTATTGATGTTTTTAGTGACCAAATCATGTAAAGTCACGTAATAGTTGCGGACGTCAGTCAATGTAAGGCATAGATTCAAATGAAATCGTTGGTCATATTCCTTGACTGCGATCCGGAAGTCCTGATTGTGAGGATATTTGGCCACTTTGACGATCAGATCGCCTCTTGTGTCGAAATAGGTCTCAAAGAAATCGAATTTTGAGATCACTTCCGACTCGACAGATGAGATGGAATCGATGGTCTCCTGTTGCACCTCAACGCCGAAGTTGTTTCCGTCTTCTATTTTGGGAACCATTAAACCGATGGCCAGTTTTAGGTGAAGAATGTCTTCACACAACTCAATCATTCGTGGCTTCAAAACACCGATCATTTCAGTGAACGTCGGATTGCAATCGACGGCTCCGTTGGGGAAGAGAAACGGCTTTGCGATAACGATCTCATCGTCCACTTCCACTATGAAATCCCTTTTTGTGTCCTTTTGTGGAACTAATCCCTCTTTAGCTTTAACTGAAGACTTGTGGTCCGGAATCGGAATATTGAGTTCAAACGGTTTTAAGACCGCATTCAGACTAAACTGAGCAGAATTTGATAAGACGTCTAAATCCAGTATTTTTCGCGGAAACTTCTTTAGAATTAATTCTTCGATCTCTTGTTTCGCTTTATCTTTAATTTTATTGACTTCTTCTTTGGCTTTATCTGACATTTTGTGTATTTATTGCGCCAATAAATCCTAACTAATCGATCCTTTTATTACAAATTTACAAATGATTCAATTTTATGACCAGATTTTGAATCATTTATTGCACGAAAAATATTGGATTATTTGTCAAACAATACATTGGAAACAATTGCGCAAAACGAGACGTTTTCAAATGTGTGGACATTTGCGGTGTCTTATAGTTATGGTTAGCCATAGTTATCGCGTGGATAACGACTATATTTAAAATGTATTACAATTTGTAATTTACAAGAACTCTCTTTTCAACGTAATTCTCGTTAATTCAAGGATTGGTTTAAAGCATAAGAACTGACAATAATTGTAGTCTTTGAGTGAATACTATCGCAATGTCTACTACAATATCGACTGCAAATTCTTCTTCAGTCATTGACCACAGTCCAGTGGATGAACAAACTTATCACATACTCAAAGGTATGCAAACAAATATCGGTTATTCTTCAAATGAATTGCTTCTCAATAAACCTTAATCTTAATCCACAGATGGATTCGTTATATCGCTTAGTGTTCTCCTCGTCTTATATATCGTAAAACTGCTTTATTTAATCGTTTCGTTTGTCAGAGTATTGATATCGGATAAAGAGAGTGTCCGCCCCTATCCCGGCGCGTGTGACCTGTGCTGTCAGATAATAGGCTGTATTTTCATGATGCTGTTCCCCATCGGAGGCATATACTCGACAACAGTCGACTCGGCGAGTAATGTCCACCTCTTCGGTGTGATTATCTCAGCCATTGTCATCGGAGCCATTCTCACCAATGACTTTGTGTCACTCATCTGTTTGTGTAATACCGGTCTCTAAACGCTTTGCTATCAAACTATTAGCGCAAAACCCATTTAATGAATTGATTTGTTAACAGAGAAACACAACGAATACACTTTGAGTTTCGGATTAATTCAATTGGGAATCGTATTGACGGAGAGTGTGGTGTTAAATGTGGGCATATTTTACGGCTACTATTCGGTGTTGGTTTTTCAGAAGCATCACCCAAACACCCGTTTTGGCTTAACTTAGACATTCATTTGTGTTTAAATGTTTTTATTAATGATATCTTAAGTTAGGAATATATTACAAAATTGTTTGTTTTTTGTTTTCATTTCAATACATGATATTTAAATTAAAATTATATTAAAATTATATTAAAATCAAAATAAAAGTCAAAAATAAAGTTTATATCAAATTAAAAAAGGTTTCGCGCATTTAAATTAATAGAAAGTATATTATTATGTAATTAAGTTAATGATTGATATAATTTGAATACAGTATTAGTGATAAGTGTCGCACACATAGAGTCGAAACACGACTAACAAAAGGCACACAAACAACAGAAATCACTACAAATAGTTGTTTTAATAGTTGGCAATCAATGTATAGCTTGAGAATCAAATGCCAAAGTAATGCCAGTCCTTATGTACTCTTCTCGACAGTGCATTCATTCACACCTATGGTTAGCAAGTGTTGTATGACTCGAATGAATGGTTTGTTGGTTTGTATTGCATAGAAGGCACTCCACAAGCATTTTACTCAACACTACATTATAATTGCTTTTCTATTTATAATACGGTGGCGGTTGGCGTCGCGCCTGAGGGCCTGAACCCGCCTGATATGGTAGCTTAGATCCCGCACTACTGCTCAGCTGCCGTAATGGTGTCATCTGTTATACACAATCAATGGCCAATCAATACAACAATTCATAGATAATAAGTGGTATAAAAGAGAACAGACCTGTTGTGGAGGAATATGCTGTGCCTGCGGTGGCGGCATAATGACGGGCGTGTATTGTTGTTGTGAGGCATTGGGTGGGAATTGATTTTGTTGTTGATGTTGTTGTTGTTCGAACTCAAAGATGATGGGAATGCGTCCCTTCTGGAGGAAGGCTTCCCTCTCATTGAGTCCCGAATCGGTGGGCAGTCGTGAAGAGATCTCGACGCTCTTCCTGCGTCTGTTCGCTCTGTGGAAACAACAGCCGACTATCGCAGCGAATATCAAAGCAATCAAAATAGCGACCGGAGGTATAATAGTTGTCAATAAGAATTCATTTGATTCGTCGATATCTATAGCGTTCTCGACGTCTTCTTCTTCTCTTGGCGTGGGTTTAGTTGGCGTCCATTGAGTGGACGGCGGAATCGTTACGGGTATGGGTCGGGCGCCCATCACTTTGGGACTCAATTTGGTTTTACACGCGCCCAACGGCTCGAACTCAACGTTAATAAACTCATAGTTTGGCTCAAATACATCTTTAAGTGACTTAAGGCTGTCGTAACTTCTTTTGAATATTCGGTTCAAAATGTTGTCTTTGATGAGATGTTGCGGACAATTGTCGTGTCCAACAATCGTACGGTTCGTCCACTTATACTCGTAATAATAGAGAGGATTTGATTCTCTTTTAGAGTGACGTGTTTTGGGAACTGAATCGTGATTCCCATCGTGTCTATGAATTCTATGCCCTTTATTATCGGAATTGTCATCAATTGGTTCCGAATCCAAGTAATTGTTATCTTCGGGAAAGGCTGGCGCGAGTCCGTCGTATTGATATTTCTTTATGCTTATGATATGGACAGCACTCGAGTCGCCGTCACTAAACATTCCCGAAGAGATTCGCTGAACAATATCCACCTGTTCTTTGACAGTGAGATCTTCTCTCACTTGAGGCGTCAATACGTTTATTATGACTTCAAAGAGTGGTTGTTTGGTCTGATCGCGGATTTCATCACTTATTTCCACAGAAAATATGTCGGAAACAGATCCGTCAATAATGGTGTCTTCGGCCAAGAGTTTCAATTCGTAAGAATTAACCCAATTTGAAGTGAGAGCCAAACCAAACAACTCCTGATCGTCGGAATCAAAGTACATAAACGATGGCATTTCGTGCGGTTCTATGGCTTCGCAGGTGAGAGTGAGGTCTCGAGTGCCCACCTGTCGGGCCGGCGAGTAAACCGTGTCTTCGGGAACCTTATATCTAAAGGCTTCGCCGAGTCTGAAGGGTCCGAGTTTTCCAATTCGGTTGCGTATTATTGGCTGTTCTTTAGGTTTCTTGTCGTCAATGTCTGGGATTTCATACGAACCGCAGGCGCTCTTCGCTATGAAGTTCAAGTGAACTTTTTGGACCTGAAATTCTGGGGAAAGGGTTTGACGCAGAAGACGGCTCGGCTCTGCGGAGGAATCATCAATCACTTTATGTGTGTCACGAAGACTCGAATATAAGCTCTGAATTGCTTCTCGTGGACACGGATGAGTAGGAAGCGTATCGTTTGTCCACGAAATGGTCCTATAATTGCCAATTAATATATGCAATAAGTTATCAATGATTCAAACACTTTGTAGTAAACAATACATACCATGAGTTTTCTCTATAACGGATGAGTAGGAAGCGTATCGTTTGTCCACGAAATGGTCCTATAATTACCAATTAATATATGCAATAAGTTATCAGTGATTCAAACACTTTGTGGTAAACAATACATACCATGAGTTTTCTCTATCGTTTTTAGTGATTTTCTGAACGGCAATGGTTTGAATGTTAGAGTCGCCGAAGAGTCTTGTGGTGACGCGTTTCAAGAGGGAAGCGGTGGCATCGATGAGACAGGAGAACTGGTACGGATCCCATACCACGTTGGAAAGAGCAAACACATGTGTGAAGGCACGGGTGTTCTTATGCTGACGCACGTGAACTTCGAGCGCTTCGGTCACGTGAGCGCCGCTCGAGTCAACCGCCACTAAATTAAAGATATGTTTCCCAATGTCTTCATCGGTGGGCAAAGCGAAGAGATATTGGTTTTCGTGATCGAATTGGATCCAGAAGTCGGACGACGGCTGCTCTTGCGTTGAACCAGATGTCGACATAAGGAAAGTGAGCTTAAGTTTACGAGTGTCTCCGTCTTCGAAGTCGACAAACGTTTCCGAAGGAATCGTATATTTCCAGTATTTGCCAGAAATTAGTTCCAGTTTTCGGATTCTTTTGTTAATATAAGGAGTCTTATTGGGAACAGAAGAGGGAGAGCTCGGGATTTCAGCCGCACTTGTAGTCGGCCTTTCGGTCGTCACGTCAATCAGAGACGGCGTTATGTCAAACGCCACGGAAGGACTCGGAGCTATCATTATTGTCTCCGACGAGAGATGTGGCGAATGATGACTCGGTGTTTGTGTCACTGGAATCGGTGTGAATAAGTCTTCGTGGCCGTCAACCAGAGTGGGTCTCTCGGGTGCCAATACAGGAGTTGTATAAATGAATGGCGTTTGAAATTTGTTTGGCTTCAAGTGATGGTGTCTGCGGTCGTGACCGTTGAGTATTGAGTTCTCGATGGGATCGCCGGCCGGTAACGAGACTGTCGGCGAACTCGCGGTCACCGTTGGAGATATCATCGAAGGGATCAAAACTCTGGAGAGCGGGTCGTGTTGTGTGGGCTCTTTACTATCAATGGATGGTATGATCGTAGATGTGGTTAATGTCATCCAATCGGGCGCTAAGATTGGAGTCGGATGTATACCATTGGCAACATTTCGACGGTAATGAGAGTTTCGTTTCTCAGTGTCGCCACCGATGCGATCATTGGATGTATGCATCATATCATTGAAGAGTTGGTTGTCATCTAATTGTTTTCGTGTGATCTGAACCATATCTGACTCGAAGCCCAATGTCTTAAGTTTGAGACCAATGTCATCAGAGATGTAGTGGTCATCAGAGAATTTACTTCCGGTGTTTGTGTCACAGTTTTCGATGTCATAAGTGATTAGATATTGTTTATTAGTATTGCGTGAAATCGAAAACCTTTGTAACCAATCACTGAATGCTTGAGATTTTTGATTACTTATCAAAGTATTAGGGATTAAGGAACTAATGAGATGCCAAACATCGGATATGTTGTCAAATGTTTGCTTAATTCGTAAAACACAGCGATATTGCGATAAATGATTGGCTGCTTGTGAAGAGCCATCAGTCACTTCGATGGCAAATATGTCGTTCAACTGCTGTTTGCCGTCTGAAACAAACATCAAATTCACACTCAATAAGCATTCATTCATTTCATATTCATTTTATCATTAATTCATTCAAATTTAGTTTCAATTATAATTATTTTCAAACAAAAAAGAAATCAATAAATTTAAAATCAATTGCATTTAGTCTTAAGCACCACTCAATTGACAGCCAATTAAGAGATCTATATATTGTCACATATCTATACAATTGATTCACTGGTTTGAGCACTAAATTCAATGATAATAACCATTAAAATACAAAAATCTTACAATATTTGAGACGGACTTCAATGAAGAACAATCCCTTCTCGAAGGGAAGACCAATCAATTCATTTGTGTCCCGTTTAAAGTACAACCAATTGGGAAGTGTTAAGCCATCGCCCGCTTCGCCGACGTGTATAGACTTGACGTCATGCGAAGACGTCAATTGGATCCGATGGTGAAACAACTTGCCTGTCGTCGGGACACACAATACATTAGACATGGAGAATGATTGGCTGCTTGTGAAGAGCCATCAGTCACTTCGATGGCAAATATGTCGTTCAACTGCTGTTTGCCGTCTGAAACAAACATCAAATTCACACTCAATAAGCATTCATTCATTTCATATTCATTTCACCATTAATTCATTCAAATTTAGTTTCAATTATAATTTTCAAACAAAAAACAAATTAATAAATTTAAAATCAATTGCATTTAGTCTTAAGCACCACTCAATTGACAGCCAATTAAGAGATCTATATATCTATACAATTGATTCACTGGTTTGAGCACTAAATTCAATGATAATAACAATTAAAATACAAAAATCTTACAATATTTGAGACGGACTTCAATGAAGAACAATCCCTTCTCGAAGGGAAGACCAATCAATTCATTTGTGTCCCGTTTAAAGTACAACCAATCGGGAAGTGTTAAGCCATCGCCCGCTTCGCCGACGTGTATAGACTTGACGTCATGCGAAGACGTCAATTGGATCCGATGGTGAAACAACTTGCCTGTCGTCGGGACACACAATACATTAGACATGGAGATAACTCACAATAATTTATGTTAAGAATATATATGTAATCCTTCCATATATTATGTCTATTAAAAGTTCCTCTTTTTATATTTTATATTATAATTGAAATTAATTAGTGTTTAAAACAAAAACTAAATGAATGTTTCAATTTGAGCACCAATTTTATGAACAGAGCTTATAATATAGGACTACGAGTTTATGGTAGAGCTATAGGAGTGTCAGCAGTCGTGGCCGAGTGGTTATGGCGATGGACTCGAAATCCATTGGGGTCTCCCCGCGCAGGTTCGAATCCTGCCGACTGCGCGAATACTTTTGTACTTTTTTATGCAACTTTTTGTTATACTTTTTACTTTTATGCAATATTTATTCATTCATTTATAATTAATTTAATTTAAAATATTTGTAATTCTAAGTAAACAAATATTAAGTAATTTTAATGAAAACTTTACTAAAAATAGACCTGTGTTCATAAATGTGTAACATTATATACTGTATCTATTTGGCACTAATTTACTGCTATTTAATCATTTATTATTATTTTTAAACACAAATTACAATTAATGCGACACTAATTCAGACAGTATTTGCAAATCTTACGATTTGTTTCTTCACAAAATTAGATGAATTAATGATTGACAAGAATTGGGAGGGAATGCAACCAAATAATGGTTTCATTGAATGCACGGCTGATATCATTGCAATGGATTTCATTTGCCTCTTATTCTCGAATTCAAACAAANACGATTTGTTTCTTCACAAAATTAGATGAATTAATGATTGACAAGAATTGGGAGGGAATGCAACCAAATAATGGTTTCATTGAATGCACGGCTGATATCATTGCAATGGATTTCATTTGCCTCTTATTCTCGAATTCAAACAAACAATTTTCCAATTCTTTGAAATCAGAGATATTTTCACCGAAAAGTCTTTCTCCCGCATAGAGATGGCTGTGAAGGCATTGAGACAACACATCGGCGTCTCCAACACCGAGATTAAGGCCCTGACCCGCAAGTGGATGGACTCGATGGGCGGCGTCTCCTATCAAATATATTGCCGTCAATTGAATTGAACGCAAATTTCAATGTTTAAAATGCAAACCTATGATAACAATCCTATTATTGTTGGACGAGCCGTGAGGAGAGCCCACAAGATATGGTAGAGTTGTGCCAAATTTCAATGGGAATACAGCGCGAGAATTGGGTAATACAGAGATCATGTGTGGAACCGAATACCGGGGTATTTGTTGGTTGAAGACCTGTTTGGGCGCAAAACGGCTAATCATATCATCTAATGTGGAAGAGAGCGAAGACGACTGAATGCCTTCAATGAAGAGCGAGTCATTCAAGTGGTCGACAAAGTGTTGTTCACTCATTTCCATCATAGGTTTGGCCAATTCTTTGGGAACACTCCATACCAGTGATGAAAACTCTTGGTTTAGAGGCAACAAACCAATGACTGAGTTATCTAACGGAACAAAGCGTTGGAAAGCGATATCATTGGACACATTTCCATCACCGGGTGAGACGTGAAGTGTGGCAACAATTGCCAACTCTTCTAAATCGTGTTCAAAATTAGTTAAATTAGATTTTTGACGAACTATGGACTGAAAGCCGTCGCAACCGATCAACAGTTTAGTCCTCAAACTCTTCTTATTATCATTTTTCAAGCTTTTTGTATCGATTTTAAGACAATTATCACCACTTGTTATATCCGTCACATCCGTCTCGTAGAAGACGTTTGAATGCATTTCATTGAGTTTAGACTGAAGTGAAGACAAGATCCGATTGTTTTCAATAACATAGCAAACGAGACCATTGTCTTCGTTGCCATCATTTATATCATGAGTAAAATTAATGGCATTATTGTATTTGTGAGACCAGACGTAAAACTCTTTGACAGGTTTTGCAAACTCTTTGAATTGATCCCAAACACCGATCCGCTCGAAGAAGCGCTGAGAAGACTTAGTTATCGCCGAAACTCTGTTTGAAAATTGATTATCACTTCTGTCTAAAGACTTGACATTCGTTTCCAATTGGCGTTCAATCAAACAGATGTTGCGATCCCTAAGAAATGGAGACCAATTGAGTGACAATAATGTGGAAAAGCCAACGATTCCGCCGCCGTTTATCACAATATCGTAGTCAACCACATCTTCACCACTTCTCGAGTCTTGCGGACCATCTCTTCCCAAATCAGTTGACAAGCATTTCACGTCAATTGTCTTCTCGTAAACAAATGGATTCAATAGACGACAAAACGCCAAACGATTTGCAATTAATTTTGACATAAAGTTATCGTAAAAATGAATTGAATTTTAAAAACACATAAATGTTTACATAAAATGTGTTTATTTTTGTCATTCAATTCAATGACTGCTTTGAGAAAACACTTCAAAACTTTTAAACACAGCGTTAATAGAGAACAAGTTTGTGAGCACTCATCCCATGTTAGCCACGATTACACAAATAGCGTATAATTCACTGCTTTTGTGTTTGCGTTTGCGTTAGGAATGCGTTGAAAGCTAGGGATAGACAGACGCTGTGGACAGATGTGTGTCGAGAGTGAATGGTATGCAATGTATGACTCAATAGTGAAGTGTTTGATGCCATTAATGGCTCAATAGATCCGAGTCTATAGACAACGCCTTTCTATACAATCGATGTTTACTTCAAATTAATGCTTGATTTTGAACATTGAATCAATTGATTTGACACTCAATTGGTCCACATTTGGTGGTCAACACATTGTCCACACATTGGGTTACGTGTAGTGAAGTGTGATATCAATAGCAGCTAATAGTCGGTCATTCGCATAGAAGATGTCATATCAAGCAAGTGATGATCACTTGAGTGGTTCCCATAAGATATCCACATGTCTTCCAATGAAAGCCAATACAATTGCCAAACGTCTTCACACCATAACCAATGTCTACACTCTGTGGTTGATATATGTCTCACTTCTGGTCACTTGTATTGAGTCACTTCAGATCCCCGATCAGCAGATAGTTGTCGGTGAGTGTCGTGTCCTCCCTATTGATTGATTGCCTCTTCAGTTGTCGCTATCACTCCATGTCTAATGTATTGTGTGTCCCGACGACAGGCAAGTTGTTTCACCATCGGATCCAATTGACGTCTTCGCATGACGTCAAGTCTATACACGTCGGCGAAGCGGGCGATGGCTTAACACTTCCC